TAGAATTTTTTATTTAAATAATTAATTAAAAAAATGAAATTCTTAATCTTTCTCCAATATAATAATAAAATTACTTCAATTGTTAATTGAAATATATTTCTATCATCATTAAAAACTGTTAATTGACTTGATGATTTATTAATAAAATAGATGATAGTAGAATGCAATTTCTAGAACCATATGAGACAATTCGTATTTTAATCAAACCTTATAAATGTATTTGTAATTTATCTAAATAATTTTAAAATAATGAAAGTACAAATGATTGATGCAAGAAAGATTTGTACTTTAATTATTTTGATATTATTTTTTCTATTTTTCACTTTTTTGATATTCTTCCTAAATATTTTGTTGTTTTTATTATTACAATTTTATTTTATTACAAAAATAAATAAGGATTGGATTGGAAAGTGATTTTTTAATATTTTTTTGATTAAAATATTAGGTGAAAAAATTAACATGTTGAGGAATAATTTTTTTGAATGTTTTTTTCATCTTAAGATTGATCTGATAATTTATAAACACTATGGTGCACACCCTTCAAAGGGTGTGCACTATATGTACCTTATAACTAAAAAAAAAAATGAAATAATTTAAATTTTCTAAGTCATAACTAAAAAAAATATATATATATATAACTAAACACAATATTAGGCATAATTAAAGAATTCATGAGTTATAACTAAAATAATGTCATAATTAAACAAGAAAATTGGTTATAATTAAAGAAAAAAAATGACATAATTAAGAGTGTATATAGTACACTATTTTCATAGAGGATATATTAAAATTTCCCTATATAAATAAGAATAATAGAGAAAATGCACTCTGTTTGATTTTACTTTTCAAAATTCACTTTTTAGAAAATTTTACTTTTTTATTTTCCGTATTTGTGAAAAAAAACCTTTAAAAAAATCACTAAATACCAAAAATATAAAAAAAAAATACGAAAATTTAGTACATTTTTTGTATTTTTGTATTTTTATTAATTTTTAAAAATATTTTACTATTTAGATACATTTAAGTAAGTAACATTTAAAAAAGTAAAAAAAATTACTTAAATTTTAAAAAATATTCATTAAAAATAAAAAAAAATTAATTTTCAAAAAATTAAATTTAAAAAATTGAAACCAAACCTATTATTATTTTTTTTAATAAGCTAATATAATCGGTCGGTCGATATGATAGCTTCTAATAATCGAGCTGAACGCGGACGCCCAGCCCATTTAGCTACACGCTAACTTCTTGGGCCAAAACTACTCATCAATGAGGCCCAACACCGCCTTAATTGTATACTTTTGGGTCTGGTGTAGTTTTAGAATTATAATTTGAGTGTAAACTTATGATTTATGTATGGAATTGTGAGATAAGTTTTGAAAAGAATTTTTTTTATTATGAGTTTTGAAAAGAGTTCTTGAATTTTGAATTTTGAATTTTGAATTTTGAAAAGAGTTTTGAGTTTTAAAAAGAGTTTGAGTTGTATTTTGAGTTTTGAGTTTTGAGTTTTTGAATTTTGAGTTATATTTTGAAATTTTTTGGATTTATTTTTTTAATATTTAAAAATATGTTTAAGAAAATTTTATTTTTTTATTTTAAATATATAATTTTTATTTAAATATTTTAAAATTTTCTTATTTTAAATATTTTATTTTATTTTTTAAATATTTGAATTTTTTTTAATTTTAATATTTTAAACTCAAAATACAACTTCACACTTAAATCGTAACTAAACACATAACTCAAAACTCAACTCTAAAATTATTTTCAAACCTCATAACCTTAGATTATATACTTTTTTGAAAAAATATTTTCTTTTCAAAAAATAATTTTTTTATTTTTATTTTTGAAGAAAAATATTCTTTTTTATTTTTTCAAAAAACATTTTTGTTATTTTTTTTAGGGAGCTTTTTCAATAAATCCATTATTTAAGAGTGTTATTCTACAAGACCTATAGTGTTTTATAATATTCTATTAGATCCATTTCATGCTAAAAGACCCAAAAAACTCTCAAACAAACACGCGCCTTTCATTTCTTTGAATCAAATAACCGTCTCTCTTTCTCTCTCTTCTTGCAAGAAATCACGCACAGTATCTCCACCATTCCAAAAATCCAAAGCCGTATTCCATATTGTCTCAACGCTCAGAAGACTGTCTTTGTTCCATCGTCGCATCGTTGCATCGTCTCATCATCTTCTTTGTCATCCCTACGTCGTCGGTCACCGAAATCGTGGAATCACCATTGTTGAACATTCATAAGGTCTATCTTCGTTAAAATCACCTTTGACAACAATTTGTAACAACGCAACTGTCGAAATGGGCAAAAAACGTAACTAATCTACTCATTCGTGTATTTCAACGTTAAATCTCTTTTTCAACAAACAACATTGTGAACTTTCATAAATAACCTCTGTTTCTATTTATACAATATATAGGAGTCCATATTGTTCATACCCTAACCTTTAATCTGAATCCCCAATCGTAATCCCTAAGTATATTGATTTTTTCAATCAAAAACATTACAGTTGCCATTATGTTATGTTCACAACTGTAAACATTCAAATGGTTTTGAAGAATGTTGGCCAAACCAAATTGTTGTTGTTGTTGTTGAAAATTGTGAACATTCAAATGGATTGAAAATGTTTGGCCAATCATTATTTTGTAATATTGTAGTTATTTTTTTTCCCTTTTTGTGAATGTTTGCCTTGTTGGTATTGTTGATTGTTAAAAGTGACATGAAATACAGTCTCTGCAAATATTGACACTATCATTCCCCCCTCTATCAAATTGTTGTTATTAACCGTAATGAATATTCACATTTAAAATTCCTTGTGTTAAATGTTGTTGTGATACATAATTATGTTGTGAACATTCATTACATGTGTAAATTAATTAGACACTTTGTGAACATTAACCACTGTGTTTAGAGGAAATATATCACTTTTGTTATCTCATGTTTCAAATTGTATTTCAATTTTGAGGTTGCATTATTAAATTGGCATTGCATGATTGTAATAAGAATGTGCATTGCCATACAAATTAGGACTATAAATGTTCACAACATCCTTTTATATGTTTGTGTTAACATCCACATGTTCTTGAATGTTGTTCATGGTTATATAAATATACATTGATTTTTACACACTCACACAAAATGCACATTGTTTTTGTGTTGACACAGTTAACATCCACATCCATGTACAGGTGTGGATATTCACATCCATACACAAAACTGTGGACATTCACACCCATGCACACAACTGTGAACATTCACATCAATGGCAATGCTGTGAATGTTCACATCTGTTCCACTATGCTAATCACATGAGCCTTGACTTAATTTTTTTTAAATGCTCCACTTTACAGATATTGCACAGAAAAAAACCTCAAAGAGAAAAAGAGATGAGTACCATGTCAAGGAAGAAAGCCCACAAGCAAATACGAGCAGCAATATTGACATGCGGCATGTCAACTACATGACCGGACTAGTGAAATTAATGAAAAGCACTAAATTCACAGAAGCATAGCTTGGCTGCCTGCGACAAACACCTTTCTGGCATTTATTAGATGCATTGAGAAACAGTGAGATTGACCTTGACAAATGCATGAAGTACGATGATGATGTTGTGCATGTCCTACAAATGTACAAAGCTTCAAAAGATGCCTTCTACATTGGGGAGAAGAAGATGAACATACACGACAACGACGTCAAGCTGATTTTTGATGTGGACTGTGGCACCAAGCCAATGGAAATATCATATAGTGTGAAACCAAAGACTGACATTATAAACAAAAGGTGCAAAAATGTCAGCCGGTTGACTTCAAAATAGATACGCACCCTTTTGACCGAGGCATTGAAAAAGAAAGATGACAACGAAGAAGTCGTCCGGCTAGTCTGCATGTATGCTTGCCAAAAACTTTTTTTCTCGACAAGCGGTGAGACAATAGGATGGGGCTACTACACGCATATGATCCCATTGGAAAACATGCAAGAATATGATTGGGCCAAACAAATTAGAACAACGTTGACATCCTCCATTTGTCAAAACGACAAAAAGTTAGCAAAAGTCACCGACTGTGTCATGTTATTGATAGTAAGTACCCATGTTCTCAAATAATAACACTCACATGTCCTTCAGTGTTGTTATCTATGCCAACTATGAACATTCACATCTGTACCACTGATGTGAATGTCCATATGCACTTATGTTTCACAGATGTGAATGTTCACATCTGTACCACTGATGCAAATGTTCATATTTACTAATGATATACTACTGTGAATGTTCACAACAATGCCACTGTTATTAATGTTCACATATGTTAACATTACTATGCAAATGCTAAATAACATATGTCTTTGTTGTTTTGTTAAAGTATTGGTTGTGTGAGCACACAACCATCCTACAACCTTACAAGCCCAATGCCATTCCTCGCTGTGTCACGTGGGATCTGACTGCTTTACAAAAGAAGATGAAAACCACCTCTTTGGCTGATATTGGTTTTAATGAGGTATGCCCTTCAACTATTGATCAAAACATTCACATTATGATACCACCCAAATATATACATTAAGTAACATAACTTTTTCATTTCAGGTTAATGCCAGCAAACTCTTTGCAACCCCAACAGAATTACAGAAGTTCAGGCGTACAACATTGAAGGTGAAGCCAGAAATTTATGAACCAACCACCACATCTCCCAACCTCTCTAACATCAAGGAAGAACAACACAATGGCAGTAACTCCCAATTTTCTGGGGATGGAGTTGAGCTAAATGACAGTAATGAGGACATTCACATTCCGTTTAGCAACCCACATAATGAGAGAGCTATTGTCATAGCAAACATAAGCCAACCCGACATCATCGATATGCTTGTCAAAGAAAATCAGAAGGCTTAGGGCATCATAAGGTAGTAGGAAGCAAAGTACAAACACCTTCAATTCTCATAGGAGTTAAGGGCAAAAGTCATAACTGATCTTGAACATAAATTGTTCAATTAGTCAAGCCCACCCAACATGAATACTGAAATAAAAAAGTGCATAGAGCAGAAAGATGAAGAAATTAAGCGTTTAACGCAGCTGGTCATCGACTTAGAATGTGAGAAAACAATTCTTCAGGACCTTTACGATGACCAGTTAGTTCACATTGTCACACAGGCCGAGACGCAGAAGCAACCCCTTGTCCCAATGCAACACAATCTCAGCCCACCTTTTTGGGTGAAGCGTATAAAGGAGAAAGATCGAAAAGAGCATTGCTTGCCTGACTTTCAGTACCCAGACTTACCTGGCCAAAAACAGCCCCATACAGTCGAAATGGTTGAAGATGTGGACAAACACCCACCAGGGAAGCACCTAAAAAAATTGACCTTGACCAACAAGTTCAAAGTCTGGAGCATGATGTCAAAACAAGACAAGCAAAAAGTAGAGGCGATGAGTAAGTGACCGTACAAACACCTAATGTCAACATTCACATTCCATAATTGTAAATATTCACCACTGTGCTTATTTATTTGATTTGTTTAAAACTGTGTAATGTTAATATTCACATTGGTTTGTTTAAAATGCACAGGCTGCTTGTGTGGAAAGGAGACTCGAAGTTTACATACGTGTATTTTAATCACATTGTGAACCTTATCAAGGAGGAATCGATACACAACAATGTATGCCATTACGAAGATGATTCACTCTTTATGCCTACACACACCTCCACAGCCACGGACACACATTGTTCACCCACCACAAATAATATAATACGACCTTATGTTTGTGCAGCTCATAGATGCATATGCCGAACTATTACATTAACAACAAGAGGTGGTCAACCCAACTTCAAATGAAGCGTCATTCATCTTCAGGAACATGTGTTTGGTAAAATCTATCATTCCATTTTTGCTAATGTGAATTTGAAACTTCACAGGCCATTAATTATTTGTCCAATGTGTACAGAAAGTAATACGAGAGTACCATCCTCACAAAAGAAGTAAACACATTGATGCACATGTGAAAAACTACCAAGGAGAGAGATACATACTATTCCCATTGCACCATGACTTCCACTGAACGATAGTTGTGTATGATGCTAAAGAAAATTTGTGGAGGCATTATAACTCATTGCGCCCAAGGACAGGCATACATGACCCCTATATCGACCAAGCACAAGAAGTAGTAAGTGACTCTTATTGTACACAAATATGAATTGTTGTCATGCGTTAAATGACAAGCAAAAGGTCCAGGCTTTACAAAAGAGTGGAGGCGATGAGTAAGTGACTGTATAAACGCCTAATGTCAACATTTACAATCCATAATTGTGAATATTCACTACGTGCTTACTTATTTGATTTGTTCAAAACTGTGCAATGTTGATATTCACATTGGTTTGTTTAAAATGCACAGGCTGCTTGTGTGGAAGGGAGACTCGAAGTCCACATACGTGTATTTTGATGACATTGTGAACCTTATCAAGGAGGAATTGATACACAGCAATGTATGCCATTACGAAGATTATTCACTCTTCAAGCATACACACACCCCCACAACCACAGACACACATTGTTCACCCACCACAAATAATATAATACGACCTTATGTTTGTGCAGCTCATAGATGCATATGCCGAACTATTACATGAACAACAAGAGGTGGTCAACCCAACTTCAAATGAAGCGTCATTCATCTTCAGGAGCATGTATTTGGTAAAATCTATCATTCCATTTTTGCTAATGTGAATTTGAAACTACACAGTCCATTAATTATTTGTCCAATGTGTACAGAAAGTAATACGAGAGTACCATCCTCACAAAAGAAGTAAACACATTGATGCACATGTGAAAAACTACCAAGGAGAGAGACACCTACTATTTCCATTGCACCATGACTTCCACTAGACGATAGTTGTGTATGATGCTAAAGACAATTTGTAGAGGCATTATAACTCATTGCGCCCAAGGACAGGCATACATGAACCCCATATCGACCAAGCACAAGAAGTAGTAAGTGGCTCTTATTGTACACAAATATAAATTGTTGTCATGCGTTAAATTCCAAAAATGAATGTACACACACATATGTTCGTTGGTGCCTAATATGAAATTCCGTACACAGAGGAAGTACATTGAGAACGGTGTGCGCGTTATTGGCAAGTCATTACCACTATGCACTAAGTTAACAGGCCAATATCCGTTACAACCAATCATATCAGTTGATGTATGTCCTCGGCAGGGCGACAACTCGTAAGCCTCACTACATTTTTTACAAATCCTCCATAACCATTATGCAAACATACATGTCAAGTGCTAATCAAAACCATTTTGCATTTACAAGGTGGACTACGGACCTGCAGTATGTTACATCATGCGGGCGCACATGTACCATGAAGAAATTGTTGGCAACCTCACTAGTTCTGAATGGTGTGGACTATGAGACTTATTAGTACATAGTTTTTTCAATCATAAGAAAACAAAGCGTCATTAAAACCTATAGGTGGAGGTGTCCACCTACTAACTAACTGTCTTGTCATAATGCACACAAAATGTGGCACTACAAAAAATTTTAGTTTCGGCCCTAGGAGTTCTTACCCGTTCCACATGTTGCAAGTATTTCTTTTCTCTTACACCTTCCCTTGAACAAACCCATTTCCTACTCTCTACAAATTTGTTGTCTCCACTAATTCTTTTTCTATTTCTTCGGATGCTAAAACCGATGACCTTAGCGTATGCATTGTAGAAAGTATAAGCATCATCCTCTAAATTGAATTTCATTTGCAACACGTCTTCCTTAGTAAGCATTCGTAAACTATCATGGGTTTGGGAAGCTAACCCTTCTTTCACATCAACAACATCATCCTTGCCATCCGGAGCAAATTGATCATCAATTTCAGTATTGACCTCTTTATGCCTACTACTTTCAGGTTCATTCATCGCATATACACTCATAAGTACCCTATTAGCAATTAAAATGAAACAAATCAACTAAAAAACACACCTGCCATTGCGCTGTTATAAATTAAATCTTCAGAACAAATAAATTAGCACCTACCAGTGCCTTGCTATCAATTAAAAAAAAAATTCGAACACGTCTGCAAGCACCCTACTATCAACTAAAACCAAACAAAAAACAAAAAAAGCACACCCGCCAATACTGTGCTATCAATTATTAATTCTTTAAAGAAAATGAACAAATAAGCACACCAGCCAGTGCTCTGCTCTCAATTATACGCCAATAATAAAAAAGCACACCTGTAAATACCCTACTATCAATTAAAATAAAATAAATTAACTAAAAAGCACACCTGCCAATGCCTTGTTATAAATTAAAATCAAAAAAATAAATAAAATAGCACACCTGACAGTGCCCTGCTATTCATTAAAATCAAATAAATAAATAAGCACACCAGCCAGTGCCCTACTATCAATTCAAAGAAAATAAATTAAAAAACACAAAAGCAATTACCCTACTATTAATTAAAATGAAACAAATAAATAAAATAGCACACCCGCCAATGCTCTGCTATTCATTAAAATCAAACAAGTAAATAAGCATACCCGCCAGTGCCCTACTATAAATTCAAATCAAATAAATTCAAAAACACAAAAGCAAGTACCCTACTATCAATTAAAATGAAACAAATAAATAAAATAGCACACCCGCCAGTGCCCTGCTATTCATTAAAATCAAACAAATAAATAAGCACCCCAGCCAGTATCCTGCTACCAATTCAAAGCAAAAAAATTCAAAAACACAGAAGCAAGTACCCTAACATGAATTAAAATGAAACAAATAAATAAAATAGCACACCTGCCAGTGCTCAGCTATTAATTAAAAGCAAATAAATTAAAAAGCATACCTGCTAATGCAACCGCTACGGAGGAAGGGATGGAGGAGGTATAGGTTTACTTCTACGTTAAGATGGAGAAATTAAGGACCTATGACAAACACAAACAGAACATCGAAATAGAGTTAGTAAAGAAGACAATACTTAAGGAAAGTAATGATTATGGCGAGAAAAGAAAAAATCTATGTACGAAAAATATTATTTTGCACATCTTTTCCATTTTCCTTTTCCAAATCCATAGTTAAATCCATGATCCAAACATAACATTAAGGACATATGATGGTTTCAGTGTCATAGAAAGCAAAGCACATTCACATAATTTTCTTCTCCTTGTGTGCTAGTTTATTATTTTCCAAAACAATTTAAAATAAAAATAAAAAAATTATGGGAGTGTATTTTCCAAATGTTTTGAGCAAGCTTCAGTCCATATGTCATAGTTACATGAAGTTATATATCATAAAGTGAGTAATTACAAATGATAGCAACTATGTATTTGGTTATAATTCTTGATTAATTATAAACAATAGCAACTAGGACTCACTTTGCTAATTTAATATAAGGATTTTTTTGGTTAAGTGAGGAAAGAAATAATTTTTCAAAAACACACTCGTTCATGTGGTTGGTAACATCAAGGTGTAAACAAGAAACTCATGTGTGTTTTGGTCTTTATGGTCTTCAAGTTCATATTCACTGTTTGGGGTGAATATTTATTCTCACGACTTTCACCATCTAATATTGACAAACAAGAAAGGATAAGCTTTGTACATCTTGGAGGTTTTGCATGATAGAAGATAAGTTGGAAGTCTTTGTCAAAGAATAAGTTGAATAGATATAACAAAAATTGAATTGGAATTTGAATATACAATCTTCACCACCACAATTACAAGCTTGCTTTTCTACCCAAGATGAACTATAAAAGCCGACACCAGTAGTTTAGCAGTATAAGGTTAGACCCTGCGATGAACTGTAAACCTAGACATCTTAGTTTGACTCTCATTAGTGTCTCTCGAGCTTCACCCATACCTGTGGTTTACCAATGATTGCAGGTATCAAAAGTTCACTCCATAAGGGTGGGTCAAATGTGGCCCTACCTTTCAATTGCATTGTCTAAATCTTAGTGCTGAAAAAATGGACCATCAAATATCTTAAAAATGGTTAAATAAGCTGCATAGGATATAACACGGAACCAGACTTTTTTAATTTTCTCACTTGTTATACAGATTTAAACTTTATATAATTTGAATCATACTTAATAAATTTAATCCTGTGAAGATGTGGTTTGGAAATACTCTTCTGATCCTGGGGAGCGCTCGAGATCCGCTGATAGTCACCTGAAAAGGAATAAACACTCCGGTCGGGGGTACCGAAATTAGCACTCTGATGGACAAGTCAGTGTCTACACTCAAGAATGCTTGTATTCTAAGTTAAGCACAATAATTCTCACATACCTCTTTCTGGCTGATGTTCTTCTATTTATATCTTTTCTTCCATGGGCCTCGGGATTAGGTCCATTTCCAACTCATATTCAGCATATTTTATAATAGACCGACCTTCACTCGGCCCCTTGCCTAATCAGTTATTTGGCCGAATAGGGTTGGATTTGAGCTTGCGAGCCAATTGCCGAGTGCTTCGAATCTCGACTCTCCGAGATTCGACTATCCGGAATCTTTATGACTCCCTCTTTTCGGCCCCCACAATTGCCTCCCAAGCACTCCACTAACGACAGTTGGCTGGAATGTTTGGCTTCGAACTCGAAGAGTCAGAGCCGAAATTCGACGACTGACCGTATTCCAACGCAAATGTTTGTACACACGTTTCCCGGTTATCATTTCAACTTCCCGCCTCTTCATACATTTCTATTTATTGTGATTTAAAATTTCGACGTCTTTTCAAATGCATACATGCTTTTAGATGCACATCGCTGGATTGCCTTCCGAACTACCTCTGCAACTTCCTACTCTTCTCTATCTCCTTCGCCTCTTTTAAGTTCTCTCCTTCTCTGCTTTGTTTTTTGGCTTAGCATAATCCTATTGGCTGGAGGAATGGCAAAACATTTAAAAGATCTCCTCTCACCGGATCAAATTTCTGGCTTCCGACGCCATTTTTCCATTCCAGATAATGTCCGTCTGTCATTTGTGGCAAACAGCACCCTCGATATGGAGTGGCTTGATGAAACCACGATCGTCTTCTCTTTTCTATCAATCGCAGAGGGTGGGGTCCGCTTTCCTCTTTACCCACTTCTTAGGGTCATGCTTTGCCATTGGGGGTTAATCCCTTCCCAACCCAACGTCAACTTCTATAGGATCGTGATGGGAATTATCGCACTAAACTGCCACCTTAGGCTTAACCTTGGCATTCCCGCTATTCGGCATTGCTATGCCTTGGCCAAGTCTTCTGGTTGGCACGGGCGTTATTTCCTCAAGGCCAAAGACACCGACCATCAACTAGTGACTATGCTTTCCAGCTCTGGGAAGCGAGTTGATGATGTTATGGTCGTCGTCCAAGGAAACTGGGAATTCGGCGAAGGCAAGGATCGCCTTGATCGTATTCCCAAACGGAGGGAAGAACTAGGTGGCCAAGTATCTTCTTTTATTTATTTACTTGTTATATTTATAAACTTTATTGTTGGGACCTCATGGTTTTGCTTTTGTAGGAAACGATTTGAAGAAAGTCTTGATCTCGACCGACGACGCCGTCCTTTCAGAAATCAAGACTGCACTCAAGTATTTCAGCCGACCGAGTCTTCAGAAGCAGGGGAGGGCAGCCCACGTTTTGCTCCGCTACGAGCTGACTTATACGACCTTTTCGACGGCGAAAAACATTCAAATTTCGGAGGGTGAGGAGTCTCTTATCGCCCTTATCTTGACTGATTTCAGAAATTTGAGGCAAGTCGGTTGCGAGGGATCAGATTCGGAGTGACCGGAAGTAGCTGAGGCCGCCGAGTCAGACCAATCCGAAACTGAGGTTGACGAGGCTTTGAATTTAGCATTTGAAGAAGTCGGCCTCAATTCGGCTGATCCTCCATCCACTTCGGGTCGAGAGGACCGTCCGCTCGACAATATTTTTCATGGTCTAGAGGACCTTCCTGACGCATTCCCAGAAGATATGGCTGGGTTGAGCCTCACTAAACTTGCCAAGAAGGTAAACGCGGAAAGGATGGCCACGCAGCGAAAGGCGGAGGAGATTCGGGCTGCCGAGTCTCAGTCCCAGACCTCCTTGCCTGTTATTAAGGGGACAGAAAAGAACGGAAGTACCGAGGCAGAACCTTTTGTGCAGGCAGGTGTAGAAGCTAAGCAAAGGGTAGAGAAACGCCCTGCCGACGTCGAGGCCGGCTTAGAAGAAGACCGTGCCGACAAACGACCTCGTTTGGAGGAGTCGGATGTGATTGTACCTTTTGTTATTCAGTCGAAGATGAAAAATACGCCGATCTTCTCCGATGCTTCGATAATCAAAGATCCAGCGGTTGCACTCAGTTTGGCGACGTTCGTTTCACTGCCTGCTGACAAGGCGACTTTTCGGACAGAGCCTGATCTGGTTGCAATGGGGTTGGCTGCGCAATTAGCACTTTTGGTATATATTTGGACTTTGTCTTTTCTCTTTACTCAAATATTATTTTGTTCTTAACTTCCTGTTTTGCAGGCCGTCAGGAGGATAGCCGACATGGGCCGTCGCTATCACGATGCTGTCGAGCTAATTGGCTGTTTACAAGCCGAGGTTGAGGGCCAAAGGAGTAGGGCGCAGACGGAGGGTGTCCGTGCTGAGGCCGAGATGGAGAGAGCCCGCAATGCCGAAGAATTGAGATCAGTCGCCGGAAGAGGGCGAATGCGAGCGACGACACGCTTAAATTGGCCCAGGAGGCGATCTCTAAATTGGAGGCTAGGTTGGAAGAGATGAAGGCGGCGAAGGAAACAGCCGACCTGAAGGCTGCCAGCGCATTCCATGCTCGGAAGAAGTCTGCTTTTGATGAATATGTAGACGAAGTCTCCAAATTTGAAAATCGGGGATTTAAACACGGCTGGCTCAAAGCCCTTGCTGCTGCTGATATGACATTGGCTATGCCAATTCCATACGAGCAAGTGGATGTTG